TAAGTATAGTCCAATTAAGACAATGGAATATAATATTAACGACCTAAATTTAGGTAATTGGATCAAATTTGGTTCAACTAAAATAGATGATTTATTAGAATTGAATAAAATAAGGTCTTTTTTACATCTTCAGTTAAGTCTTGACCTTAATTCAAGAGAATTATTCACATATCTAAGAATCAAAAATTATTTGGACAACCATTTGCTTTATGACAACACTAGGATAAATAAAAAATTAAATGATCTATTTAAAAATAATACTAATCGTAAATCGATATCTAGTTGGTATGAATTATTGAGAGAGGAAGAAAAAGAGTCTAAACCAAAAGCATGGAAAAATTGGAAACAAGAAAGTGGGTCTTTAATAGAGTTAGAGCAGTGGTATAGATCAATTCAAGAAGTTAAAAAATTGTTGCATTGTCTAAATATCATAGAGCTTCATTATAAAATTCTTCATCAATGGCATAGGGTACCAAAAATTCTAAATAGAATCAACCCTGATAATTCCAAACTTTGCTGGAGATGTACCTGTGCTGAAGGTAGCTCTAAACATATTTGGTGGGGATGCAAGCTTTTAAGACCTATATGGAATAAAGCATTTAGAGTTATATCAGACTTAGTGGGAGAAGAATTGGATGATAATTTATTGGTTGCTCTTTTCCATTTTAACTTAAGAAGATTCTCAACTCAAAATAGTTATCTAATAATCCAATTTATGATGGCCATAAAAATAGAAATATCAAGATATTGGCTACAGAAAAAGACTCCATCTTGGACCCAAGTGCTAACTCAGCTTAAATACCAACACGATATGGAAAGGGGAATATCTTTTCAATATGATAGCCACTTAAAATTTGATGAGAAATGGTCACCTTGGCTAGATAATCTGATATAACTGTATACTTTGGCATCTCTGTTATAAATATCCTTCTATATAAAGATCACTCTAGTTCCTCCCTGTGGTACTGTATTCAGTAAAGTTATGAAGTAACTTAATTATTATAGTTTAGGCCCACCTAATCCACTCAGTTCTTTTAAATTGTGATTTTTGTGTTTCTGTGTGTGAAGTTTACTTAACAGTTCACATATCCTTCTATTGTAAATCAAAGTCTATATGTCTAATTCTGAACAGTTTTTGTCTGTGATGTTGTATATGTAAAATTTGAAAAAAGAATAATAAAAAAAAAAAAAATTACTCTATGGTAAACAATGGAAACCTTTAAATAGTTTTATATTGATATTGAATTATAAAACAAAATAAAATAATATATGTCTGAATATTCATATTGTGAATCAAATCCCATGTTCTGATATGCCTACAATGTTGACAACTGGGACCAGGAACTAGCTGAGGTATCTCAGTCAATCCATCATCTGCCATTTCTTTCAATGGGAGAGTTAATGAGTATCTAAATACGTATGATGTCATACAGTATTGTAAATATATATGAGCGAATAGGGAATGAAGACAAATTATTTGCAAAATCTCACCATTTCATGTTGGACAAGAGACTGAGGGGTCATATTCTTCTTGTTTTATTTTAAATTATGTGATATTAAAAAAACCCAATATGTAAATATTTTAATACTATATATATATATATATATATATATATATATATATATATATATTATAATGCCTTATTTTTGCAGTGCATGGATTAGTGTACAGGCTAGTGGAGACATAACATCAAAAATACAGAGTTATAATATAGCTTATCTAGTTATGGCTCTCAGTATCACTGCACTTATTTTTGTTTTGTTTTAGTTAGCATGCAAGTATAACAGGAAAGGTTTATGAATACAATAAATTGCTTGTCAGGATTGTCACACGTTTATAAAATTAAAATTAATAAAACAGGTCAAATATGATGTATACTGTTCCTGCATTTACCATTAAGCAAGATGACAAATCCTAGTCTGTGCTGCATACAGACAATTTTTAGAGGTTAAAGAATATCCAAGATAACCTTGCACAATGTTATATTAAAGATGCAGGCTGAACTGTTGCATCTGTAAACATATATAACAATATTGGTTAGTGTACTGAACTCTAGTAGGCTATTAGAGTAGTGTTAAAGTCGAGTAGTAGTGTAGAGTGATAAGGAATAGTAGTAGTACCCCCCCTCCGATCCCTTATTGGGTCTACCAAGTTAATTAGGTTCCCTGTAGCCTGAACTTAGCTGATATGGTTATGGAGCTTGGGCGACTGGTGGTAAAGTTCAGTAGGCTCTTTGCCTGTTCTGGATTCCCACGCCCATTGCTCTGGTCAGCCGATGCCTCGCAGGAGCTGAGTGCTTGCCCACTGTGCTGATCGGTGCATCCGGCTTTGTCCCTCCGGTGAGGGGGGTCACTGAGTGCCAAAGCCTTGATCGTGTGAGTTCGATTCTCGAGGTGTGATCTGACATTCGTGGGTGGTTGCAGCCTTGCTTGGCCCCTCTCAAAGCTGTCGTATTCTTGGGCCTTTCATTTTGCTTTTGCACCTGCCGGTTCGGGCTGACTTTGACCCTTTGATGAGGCTGTCGCGTGCGCTGTCTCTTAGACACTCTTGAGGCCCCAGGAGTTAGTTTCCATTTTTCGTTGCTCCCCACAAGGTCTTCTCGGCCTGGCCCCAACAGGGACCCCTGCAGGTGCAGAACTCTCATGGTTGTGCGTTGGGAGGGAGCTGCTGATGGAATAGGCGGCATCCAAGGCACTGAGCATCTCATGCAGGCTTCCAGTTTCTCGCAGAAGGCAGTAGAGATGCTATTCTGCCATAGCTTCATTTCCCGCCATGCGTTGTGTGGGTTGGTACTGTGGTAGGCATCCGCCATTATGGAAACCACAGGGACGGTTAGCTCGGGGCCCCATGGAGCCGGTACTGGCCCATCGCTTTGCTGGGGGATCATGTGGTTTAGACCGGGATGACCCCCACCAGTCTAGAGGGAGGGGAATGAGGGCTTGCATCCAGATACCCAGCGTGGTGTTGCAGCTGGGGAGCAGCCATCTCCCGTGCGCCTGCCATGCTTGTAGGCCTCACAGTGATTATTGCTCAGTCCGTCGAGAGGTGTCGTTCTGTTCACCTCAATGTCCTATCTCGTATGGTGGTCTTGTAGTCTTGATTGAGTGCCGGTTTGGTAGTGGTAGCTCAGTCCGTCGAGAGGTGTCGTTCTGTTCACCTCAATGTCCTCTCTCGTATGGTGGTCTTGTAGTCTCGATTGAGTGCCGGTTTGGTAGTGGAAATCAGCTTTAAGTGCCAATTTTAAATGTAGAAAGTAATCCAGGCATTCCAAAGTATCCCAAAAAGGCAACTCTTATTGGACCCATGAGCCAAAATACAATGTTTCGACCCCTTAAGATCTTTGTCAAGCTTCTAAACACATATATAACAATCAATATATAGGTGTACAAAGTAATTAATAAGTGATATAACATGTGACATACCAAAATTAATTGGCTACATGATCAGTCAGTAGTTGTTAGATATCATCTCCCTTCCAATCATTGTCCAACATATCAGGGGTGTCACACCTCACAGGGTAATTCAACCAATAAGATACTGAGTCTATCAATTGCTTAATTATAAGAATTTTAATTATATCTAGTTAAGTAAATTTGTTAAGTATTAGAAATGCCGGGACAGATTCAGTTACTCACATTTCCGGGTCGGCCACCTGATCGTGACCACGTCCAACGTGTAGAGGACACGCATAACCATATTGGTCACAGGATCAGGTTTGTCAGAATCGTAGCAAATGCGCATGCGCACCACGGCGCATGTGCATTGACGTTCATTTCCATCCGACCAATCTAAATTAGTTATATGATCAAGAACGGCAGTATCGTGACTAGTGCGCACGCGCAACAAAGCACATGCGCAGTCACGCACCTCCACTGTACCAATCAGCATCATATACCAATCTTACGTTTACCAAGTATCTCGCATATAAATATAAAATGTGAGATACTTATTAGTTACAATTACAGTTACGTTTCTATTATAATGCAGAAAAAACGCAAGAGAGGATTAGACATGAATATCTAAGTACGAAAAGTTAATAATAAACCCTGTTTCGGAATGACAGCCCCAATAGTGGATCCTAATCAGCAAAATAAATTTAAACTATACTTATTAAAAATCTTAGCATATTTTTATTTCTATCATTTTTCAATTTAATTTTTTTATTTATTTTAGTTTTTTTACATCCCTTATCCAATCACAGATCATACAATTTCTGCATCTCAATGTCTTCCAAAATTATTTTCTTTGAAATTATTCATCACCTAATAGAAAGTTAATGGTGGTAAACTCAATAAAGATACAATAAATAATATTAAGAATATATACAATAGAGAAAAAATAGTGAAATAAATAAATAGAGAAATAAAATACAAAATATAAATAAAAGAATATAAAACTAAAAAATAAAAAAATTCAAAATAACAAAAAATAAAATAAAAATGAACAATAAAAATAAAAAACTAGAAATATATAATAATAATAATAATGTGAAAATAAACGTGTCATATAATTGCATATAATTAAGTGCCAAGTTTAGTAGGAGCTGCTGAGATGAGCATCCTCACAACTCTGCAGTCAGGCCCCGCCCCTCCTTGAATAATATATTTTTAATGGTTTATTTAAACTTTAAATAGTTTGCATTACTATCTACTTAGTACATAGTCCATAGTTACATAGCTGAAAAGAGACTTGCGTCCATCAAGTTCAGCCTACCTCACATTTGTTTTTTGCTGTTGATCCAAAAGAAGGCAAAAAAACCCAGTTTGAAGCACAATTTTGCAACAAGCTAGGAAAAAAATTCCTTCTTGACCCCAGAATGGCAGTCAGATTTATCCTTGGATCAAGCAGTTATTACCCTACATTGAAAGATTATATCCTTGAATATTCTGTTCTTGCAAGTATGCATCTAGTAGCCGTTTGAACATCTGCATGGACTCTGATAAAACCACTTCTTCAGGCAGAGAATTCTACATCCTGATTGTTCTTACAGTAAAAAAACCTTTCCTTTGCCTTAGACGAAATCTTCTTTCTTCCAGTCTAAACGCATGGCTTCCTGTCCTATGTAAAGTCCGGTTTGTGAATAGATTTCCACACAATGGTTTGTATTGGCCCCGAATATATTTGTATAATGTTATCATATCCCCTCTCATGCAACGTTTTTCTAAACTAAATAGGTTTAAATTTGTTAACTTTTCTTCATAGCCGATATGTTCCATTCCTTTTATTAGTTTTGTAGCCTGCCTCTGCACTTTTTCTAGTGCCATAATATCCTACAACATTTACACTGCTTTTAATATTTGCATTTGCATCTTTTTGTACAATTACTATAACTGAATTTTTAACATCATTAATTCAAATCAATTGTATTTAACCCAGGTTCAGAGAATATGGCTGGTTGTGCGTCACACAGTTTTTGTTCTTTGAACAAAGTAGTTGGAACCTTAGTAACAACCAGAAATGAAAATTATATAGTCATTACCTGTCAGAAGGCCGAACGCAATGGTACTCTGCCAGTGGGTAAGTTATTTTATTTTGTCATCTTTTCACAAACCATTATGCTTTGATGGGTTGACAGTTGGAAGGGAAACCATCAATGCTTTTGAAAATACAGAATTGAAAACAACATTGAAATTGATCCATTACTTATTTTAATCATATTCATCTGATGTTCCATATTCTTTAGTTTCATATTTGTATTAATAAAAATTAAGCAATTTATATAATCACAATTCACATGACAGTTTAGTCCAGACACGACCAGGACCCACATTGTATTAGAGCAGGAGAAATGTTTGGGGTAATTTATCAGAGTGTTTTTTTTCTTCTAAAAAGTGGTGAAATGTAAAAAACTACTAACTATAACATAATGCATAATTGATTCCTGGCACGAACAATAAACATACACATTTAATTAACACCAATAGGGCCTACATCTCTACACCTCAGGAACAATAAACGAGCCCAGCTCAAGAAGTGTGTAGTCCCCTGTTAGAAAAACACATTTCCCAGGACCCATGCCCTTAGAGAAATTGAAACATAAAAAACACAACCTTAAATCTTTGGCACATCCTGCCTTTACTTGGTCCAGTGTCAAGGATCTCAGGCAATAGAGCACTTATGCGCACACTCTCCTTGGTACACCAAATGCCCAATTCAGACCATTCTGAATACCAGCATCAAAAATGTCCAAATCCACATCAGTGAGGTGGACCCATCAGGTAAGAAAACTTGGGGGGAATTTTCCAGCTGACTATATGTAATGGTGATACCATCATGAACTTGAACAAAATGAGACATAAACCTGTTAATTTTAATGTGTGCCTTGTCAATGGCCAGTTCTGACCAATAATTATACCAAACCAAGCAGGGAATTATCTCTGACCAAACCATAATTAAACCCAACACTAAATGCAACATGTTCAACAAAATATCTATTTTCAGGCCGTGAATTTGCATGAATTTAATTGAGTCATTCTCGGCCAGGTAAATTAGTAAACCATGAGGGCTGCAGCTAAAACCACAGACCTTAAATACCTGTGCCATAAACCCATTCTAAAATATGCCCTAATTACCTGACCAAGGAACCAACATGACATGAGGAGACCATCATTGTGAACTGTTACTCTGTTGGCAGCCCAATGGACATATGAATGCCCCATGATGTAAACCAAGCACCTTCAGGAATCTAAAGGAAGACAAAGTAAGTTCAGAAAACAAAGCCAACAGCAAATAGCAAACAATATATGAAAACAATACAATGCCACCCACATAGATCATGTATCCATACCCAGCAATCCCAGCAGAACATGGTTAAAGGATCACTCTAGTATCTGGAAAATAAACTAGTTTTCCTGACACTGTATAATCCTTGGGGGACCCTCACCCTCAGGGTTGCCCTCCCGCTGGGCTGAAGGGTTTAAAACCACTTTAGCCACTTAACTTAATCCAGCGCCGGGTTCCCTCGGTGCTGGTGACCTCTCCTCCCAAAATAAAATACAATATTACTTCTGTCAGATACATGTGCATCAATACATGGCAAATGGTTAACATAGAAACATAGAATGTGACGGCAGATAAGAACCATTTGGCCCATCTAATGTGCCCAATATTTCAAAATACTTTGAATTAGTCCATGCCCTTTTCTTAAGTGTATGATAGCCTTATGCCTATCCCATGCATGATTAAACTCCCTCACTGTGTTAAGCTCTACCACTTCAGCTGGAAGGCTATTCTATGCATCCACTACCCTCAGCAAAGTAATACTTTCTGATATTATTTTTAAACCTTTGCCCCTCTAATTTAAGACTATGTCCTCTTGTTGTGGTAGTTCTCATTCTTTTAAATATAGTCTCCTCCTTTACTGTGTTGATTCCCTTCATGTATTTACATGTTTCTATCATATCCCCCCGGTCCCGTCTTTCCTCCAAGCTATACATGTTGAGTTCCTTTAACCTTTCTTCGTAAGTTTTATCCTGCAATCCATGAACCAGTTTAGTAGCCCTTCTCTGAACTCTGAAATGCAAAAAACAGATATATACAGCAAGGTAATAAAATAGAGTGTGATAGCTATAAAGCTATAAACCCCCTGAGTGGAAACCCCTTACACCACTCAACAAATAGAAAGCAAATACATACAATGTAGAGGGTTGGTCACACTTAAAATACGTCTGAAAGAGATAAACAAAGCACGTAATAGTGTAATATTGTCTGGTAAATGGAATATTGAGGAAGTGAAGTCTGGTACTCACAAGCCTGGAGCCAAATCTCATATGGCTCCCATGGATATCGCCTTGGGACTATTCAAAAGGATGTCCCCCTCCTACTTCCACATGGGCTGTTGGTTGTTCCAATTGGAATGAGGTCCAGAATCCAATGTAGGTCTTAATAAAAAAGTACTTTTATTGTATGTAAAAAAGATAATAAAACTTCATTATTTAAAAAATAACAAAAACACAAAATATATAGCTATGTACTATATTAGTAAGTCCTGCCAATTGGCTGTATAGTTCAATGGTAACCGAAACGCCTTTCGCCCCTCCGGGGGCTTTTTCAATCGGTATAAGTGAATGTTCATTGCAGTCAAGCGTTCATTTATCCCCCTGTGTACCTTTACTTCCGGGTTCCGGCTGATTTCTCTTTGGAACGCATCATGCGTTCCAACTACGGCTGTGATTTACGATTCCGCTTCCGGGTTCACGGTTTCACTTCCGGATTTTGGTAATGATGTCGCTGGAACGCAACGTGCGCTCCAAACTTCGTTACGTTCCATTCTCAGAGCCTGACTCCATATTATCGGGACGCACAGCTGAATCAGCTGTGCGTTCCATAACATGATAATGAGGCACCGGAATACCGCAATATGTACATTCTCAAAGAGCATAAAATATTCTTCCTACATATAATATTCAATTCCTGTAAAAGATACATACACTTTAAATGGAGATATATATTTTCTAATCAATATAGTAAAATCCCCTGCACCATTGATAATCATGCTATGGTGATCATACTCTTAACGTGAGATGGTGATTAATGTGATATAATATAATTTACTTATTGATTATTACTCAAAAATTCTTTAAATCTTTTTTATATACAATAAAAGTACTTTTTTATTAAGACCTACATTGGATACTGGACCTCATTCCAATTGGAACAACCAACAGCCCATGTGGAAGTAGGAGGGGGACATCCTTTTGAATAGTCCCAAGGCGATATCCATGGGAGCCATATGAGATTTGGCTCCAGGCTTGTGAGTACCAGACTTCTCTTCCTCAATATTCCATTTACCAGACAATATTACACTATTACGTGCTTTGTTTATCTCTTTCAGATGTATTTTAAGTGTGACCAACCCTCTACATTGTATGTATTTGCTTCTCTGAACTCTCTCTAAAGTATCAATATCCTTCTGAAGATATGGTCTCCAGTACTGCATACAATACTCCAAGTGAGGTCTCACCAGTGTTCTGTACAATGGCATGATCACTTCCCTCTTTCTACTGCTAATACCTCTCCCTATACAACCAAGCATTCTGCTAGCATTTCCTGCTGCTCTATTACATTGTCTGCCGACCTTAAAGTCATCAGAAATAATCACCCCTAAATCTCTTTCCTCATATGTTGAGGTTAGGACTCTATCAAATATTCTGTACTCTGCCCTTGGGTTTTTACGTCCAAGATGCATTATCTTGCACTTATCCACATTAAATGTCACTTGCCACAGCTCTGACCATTTTTCTAGTTTACCTAAATCATTTGCCATTTGGCTTATCCCTCCTGGAACATCAACCCTGTTACATATCTTAGTATCATCAGCAAAAAGACATACCTTACCATCAAGACCTTCTACAATATCACTAATAAAAAGATTAAAGAGAATGGGTCCAAGTACAGATCCCTAAGGTACCCCACTGGTGACAAGTCCAAGCTTCGAATATACTCCATTGACTACAACCCTCTGTTGCCTGTCACTCAGCCATTGCCTTACCCATTCAACAATATGAGAATCCAAACTTAAAGTTTATTGATAAGCCTTCTATGTGCAAAAGCGTCAAAAGCCTTACTAAAATCTAGGTAAACAATGTCTACTGCACTACTCTGATCTATTATTTTAGTTACTCAATCAAAAAAATCAATAAGATTAGTTGGGCATGATCTCCCTGAAGTAAACCCATGTTGTCTCTGATCTTGAAATCCATGCGTTTTTAGATGTTCAACAATCCTATCCTTTAACATGGTTTCCATTACTTTCCCCACTACTGAAGTAAGGCTTACTGGCCTATAGTTGCCTTACTCCTCCCTTCTACCTTTCTTGTGAATGGGCACAACATTTGCTAACAATCTTCTGGGACTACTCCTGTTAACAATGATTGGTTAAATAAATCTGTTAATGATTTTTCTAGTACACCACTAAACTCTTTTAATAACTTTAGGTGTATTCCAGGTCCCATTGACTTATTTGTCTTTACTTTTGACAGTTGAAATAGAACCTCTTCCTCTGTAAACTCACGTGTAATAAATGACTCATCTATCCTTTTTCTCAACTGAGGTCCCTTTCCTTCATTTTCATCTGTAAATACAGAACAAAAATATTAATTGAGGCAGTAAGCTAGACCTTTATCCTCTTCTACATACCTTCCTTCATTTGTTTTTAATCTAACTAATCTTTGTTTTACTTTTCTTTTCTCATTTATGTATCTAAAAAATGTTTTATTCCCCTTTTTTACTGACTGTGCTATTTTCTCT